ATTTCTTGCCTAGCCGCGCTGCAGAAGAGCCAACGGACGGCCAAGATTAACCTGGTGCAAATATATGGAAGGAGTCTGCTCCAGACTCCGGTTGTCTTCTGCCGAAGCTCAGACTCTGGCACAAGATCGGGAACGTTGGAAGCAGTGTTTGACGCATCTGCCTCTGGGACTTGAAAGGATAAGCAGTCATGGAAGATGAAGATGATTAAGACTTATTATTTTCTTACTGCCAACCATGGAATCAAAGGACCAATCAACTTCAAATTGTTTTAACAAATCTTAAATTTACTATGGAATGAAGAAGATCGGTAGATATAGGTTATGTAAATTAGTCACGAGGATTCGTTATATCAAATCGCTGAACTCTTGGGAGGAAGAAACATGCGTGGTTACAAACGGCGCGCAGCAGAACCGTCACTTTGTTGGAGAAGAGACAAAAACCGAGGTTATTCAGTCGGTAGAACCGATAGGTCCTCAGTTCATGACCCAGTTAAAGTCACTGGCCCTTTTTCATTCTGAGGTTGATAAATGAATGCCACTTTGTGAGAAAGAAACAGGAAACTACACGCTAGACTCTGCCTTGAAGAAAAGGTACTCCCAGAAAATGATGGCATATAAACGGTGATCAGCAACACACCGTTAACTTTACGGAAAACAGGGCACCAGAAAAGCCACATTGTGAAAGTGAAGGAAGACCGACATTCCAGTGGTTATAAACTTTCCTCTTCTCGGCAACTGGACCATGTACAGAAGTTTTTCGTGCATGTAATGATATAGCCACATGAGGATGTTGGGACCGTTGCTCATGCCGGTTGAAAACTTTTGCTGAATGCCGTATTTGAACGGAATATCCCAGTGTAGCGATATTTTCGAGACAAGCTGCGACGAAATTCCACGTCCGGCATAAGCTCCTTGATGATCAGATGGGTTTTACGCACACATCGTACTGCCAATTACAGACTAGCGAATTTAAAGACAGAGAAACGGCTAGAACACAAGTACAGAACGAAGGAAATCCAAGATCAAGACATAATCAATCGTTCTTTATTGGCTGATTGCGCCAAACGCCGCAAAATTCCAAATTCATGTTGCGCATAAGGAACTGACTGAAAAGAGGCAGTGGACTTTGAACATTTAACGCTAACAGAGTGAAATATTAATTTAGAGGTATGAAGTTTATTCAGGCATAAGATACCGCCGACTACTCTAACAAATTACTGTAAATAACAAGACATTTAATTAAGATTTATTTCCTATTTATTTTGTGATATACAGTACGATTCAGAAGTCAGATCTGCGATGGAAGGCAAAACGCACTGCCGAAGACCCTGAGGATGACCACCAAATAACCTGAGGAAAGATTATGGAAGGACTTTACTTCAGACACAGGCATCATCCACCAAAGCTCCAACGTTGACAGAAGATTAGAAACGTTGGAGATGGTGTGTAATGCGTCTAGCTCCATGACTGGAATAGATAAAAGGTCATCAAAAATGACTGATTATCGAGTACGAGGAAAAAATTCGCCGTAAAGGACATGAATGAATGAATCAATGAACCATAAACTATTTAATGTTGCAAAAGCAAGCTGTATAAAAGTGGATAAATAACTAATGAACGTCACGCAGACTTCAGATCGAACGTGAAAACTCTTCCATAAAAGTTGAAGGAAAGAAGCAATTCATTCTACTGCCATTTCTCTAGCTTAGTTTGGAATAGAAGAACCGTTCCTTTGCATGTAGTAGCCTAGGAGACCCTTTAAGAAGAGAACGGGTGCACGCTATTTTAACTCTTGCAGTGCATGAGCGCAAAACAGAACTACCTTGTTGAGTCGAAGAAAAGCACGTTCCAAGACCAATGGACATACCTCAATCCTCATTCATAAAAGTACAACGCGGTGTCATGGTTTTACTAACAAACTGCTAACTTTCAACAGCGCCGGCAAAAATGAAAATCCCTTGTTACTTAGCCGGATTCAAACGGCGTATTCGCACCGATCCGTTGCTTCTACTAGCACATGGAATGGATTAAGCAGGACATGGATTTATGGATGGTTCTTTTTATTATTTTTGGTACATTCAACGACTTGAGGAAGACAGATATTGGACAATGAGGCTGTCAAGGAGTAGGCTTCACGGCAAGAACGAAAACATGGACAGTTACGGCGTAAAGGACACTGTTAAATGGTATATTTAGGTGATATCGCGCCAGATACACTAACAGACCTGTAATGGAACAGTTGCAGTACTTGAATACCTCACTCAAGAAGAGTGCAGTTGTGAAGTACCTCTGCTTGGATGTGAATTAGTGCTTTAGTTTGGAACCTCAATTGTGCCGTTTGAAGAGGATACGCTCCGGGGCAAGTGTTGAAAGAGTTCATGCGAGCCCTCATATACTGACCCTGGTTCTGCATGGCACGCCCGTCCAATTCAACAGTTTTACTGTGACATAGCTCCATCACCTATTCAGAAGCTTGGTTAATTTGCAGGACGATAGATACAACAACGTGTCGGATGAGCTTGCCACTATCCTGATAAATGATATGATTAGAACAACTGTGAAACTCAGTAAATAGATCCTTACCGTTTCCTTTCTTCCTTCGTATCAGTGCCTAAAAGCGTATCTATCGAATAGTCCAAGTACTCCGTCGCGCAAATGCCAGACTGATCGTTACGGGAAGTCGTTTATCCCTTTCACAGATGTGTCGGTCTAAGCAAAGAAGATCAGAAGCTGTTTCCAAAAACTGCTGCAATCCGGAGTGCGTCTGGCAATGTCACCGTCGCCTTGTCTCCGCTATGTCATGTTTTTGGTGATTAATATTTGTAGATATCATTTTCTGTTCTTGTATGGGATGGCTACCGGTTATATTTCTTAGCGGACACCTAAGTAAAAATGAACGAATCAATGAAAACACGACTACGTTATGCCTGGTCAAAAACATTTATTTGAAATATGTGCAGATGCGATGGCACAGTATACAAAAGGCGGGTTCGAGGAGTACCGAGAAGGGCGATCATTGTCTCACCGCGAATTCCATCGAGCCAAGAATTTAGCTCATGTTGCTTCGGAGTTACCGGCCGAAAAACAGGCAGTAGGTCACTGACCAACGAACAAGCGAGACAGCATGGTGCTACGGTGTGTGTTATACCAGTATGAGTGAGATATATGGTCATGCTATGCGGTGTGAACGTCTCCTGTGGCTTCGTCTTGGCCATTCTGAGAGCTCATAGTCAGTACGATAATGAGCACGTGTAACCCACAAACAAAACAAACAGACAAAGTCAAACAGTGCTCAATAATCATTTTAATTATTGCTGTACATACTGAAGTATATGAAACATATACCAAACCATACTTGACCTTCATTTTAAAATATCAATATAAAAACAGTCGGAATGAAACAGACGAATACCGAAAACACGAAATATTTGGTAGACTAAACACTCCTTATAGCAGGGAAGTAGGCAGTTAAAGAATCTGATCCGGCAGTCAAAGGCATTTCTTCATCGAGACAGTAGCGGTACTGAAACGAATGAAATTAGAGCGTTCAAGCGATGTAGGTGGAAGAGGAGGTGGTGCTGGAACGGAAGAGCAGTCGTTCAAAACGTGACTCGATCCGCTTGAAGAAACACTCACCGAAAGCTGTTGTGGATGAGACTCCTCAGTGCTTAGGGTTTCAAGATGATCGCTTGTCTGCTGAAGTCGAGCCAAGAGTTTTGAAAAACGGGCTCCTTCCAACAATTTCGAACTGCTTCCAACAGTGATCAGCGGTGTACATGGCTTATAGCCACAATCTTCATAAAATGCCACCTGATCGTGCGTAGTCAAGTAGATGGTGTGGAAGGCGGAATCTCGGGCGAAGCATTCCGATGCATGCATCAGCTTCCTGCCATAACCCTTACGACGTTCGTCTTTCGCCACCACCACCGACTCCACAAGACACCATCCGGCAAGACCCGGAATACGACACAGACGCGAATGGCCAATCACCTTGTCGTCCTCACGACGTACTAGCACCAGAGATACAGGAAGATCGTCGTTGTTCTTTTCAAAGCTTAGCGAACGTGCATACTCCGATCGGGGCCACTCCGAGTTCAACAGTTCGATACATTTAGCCTTGTACTTCGGATTCTGGTGCAACACCAATATTTCCATACAGTAATACATTTGTTGATCATCAGGTTAAGTAAGAGAAATACCGTACTGTAAATTCATTTCATCTCGTTTGAAAACTTGCCATTCCAAATAACATCCCCCCCCCACTGAAGTGCACCTATTTTTTGGAATACTATCCTTACGCTGATTTATCAGCTATCAGATAAGTTAAAACAGAAAAGCCACTGTATGAAAAAACTCTGGTTATAAATTTTCTATGACTAATATGATCACAAGAGTGAGCTGTTTAAATTATTCGAAGGTCATCAACGGACTATTCTTCCGTTGCCCTGTTGAACTGATTTAAAACTTGATGAATTCCGAACTGAAAAGAATTAGTAGTTAATGCAAGTATCCTAAGTAGTGCTGCAATTTGAACCTATATCTTAACTGCGAATCGGAACCACTTCCCAGATTCCAAGACCAAATCAGCTTTAACATGGCAGAGGCTATTTACATGTAAGCAAAAATGTTTATCATGATTTTTATGGCTTAATAACAAGTGACTAGAGATAACATCAACAGTAACTAGATGTCACCATGTCCTGATCTTCTCCGCTCCCGTAATGTAGACCAAGATACATGCATCGATAGATAGCATTCTTATTTTATTGCCAGTAACGAAGTTTTTTTTAAATTACGTCCCGGGTTCGTCTGCCAATGTTTTCTCTGACGTGGGGAGTCGCAGAAGTAGCTTAGGCCAAGGCGGTAATCTGCAGTTAAGTTCCCGGCAATCATTATTTTTGACGATTAATTCTAGGCCCCACCTACTAAGCCCCTGCAAAGTCAAAGTAAAACACTTCTAGATGCTCTGGTCACGGTACGATAGGACGATATCTTCGCCAAGTGAAGGGCAGCACCATGTCTCAGTCTATCGGTGCGGGCTTCCGCACCACTCAGGCTTTCACCTACCGGGAGAGCTTTAGATTAATTACTTTTCAATCACAATTCATGTTTACTGTAACGAATGTTTCTTTACTTTCTCACATGGAAGAATAGATTCGAGTGTTCTAAGATTACTGTGGATAGTGTGGAGCTTGCAGTATGGGATTGATACAACAGAATGAAGAAGAATAAGCGTACCAAAAGAATGAATCACTTGCTAATTATAACGATTGTCTGACGGAGGTCTTTTAATTGATATCTTATTTGAGACAAATTTGTCGCAGATATAATTCCTTTGAACGTTGAAATTGGTCAGTTTCTTTGCCATGGCATCGCAAATCGTAGCGCAGCTATCAATGAGCTGTTACTTATACAGAATTGCTTTTTATTCGGATTCCAACATGGGCAATCTTATGTGGCATTCCCATTTTGCCATGATGAACGCATGTGAAGCATATTCAAGGGCATGACTAATTCTATATCATGGCATCAAACGCGTTCATTATTTCTTCCTACCTGTTTATTCAAGAACAATGTTGGGAAGAAAGCGAATGGGTGCAGAATAATGCCTCATCTTGTATCACCTGTCCTTCACTATTCAGGCTAGGTAAATGAATAGCACGTTATGGGAAGGAAGCGGAAGGCTCAATACCACCTGAATCAGCCATTATTCAGCGACAACTTCTGCCGGTCGCAAAACTTTAAGTTGTCATGAAATTTTACATCGGTGAACAAGGCTTACGCCGACTCGAAGAATTTCATGCAGACTGGTCCTAAAATTCCGTCTGTTTTTAATCGAAATTGTCCCTTCTAACCTTTGACGACTAGGCGTCTGACCGGAAAGCGGCGGTGACAGCGGCATTTTTCTTTACATGAGCAGGTTTCGTCGCGTTGTCATCAGACCGCCACTAAGCATTATGACTTTTTCCTAACGGACGAACTTGCCGGGTTCGAACCCAGCCACGCCCTGGTGGCTTTACTGCTCTCTGACTGCCACTTCCTATTTGTGGCAGCTGACTCCCATACGTGAATGTTGTTCACCTCCACCCGTGAGTGCGCCATAAATCTAGCAGCTAGGCACAAACGAGCATATTGATTTGAAAGCTGAGGCATTAGCTTCTAAGGAAACAAACATGATTCGACATGAAGCAATACAATCAAGATCTGCAGTAAATCATCTGTTCCACAAAATACAGCTTCAACCACGGAAGGGTAGAAAGACATCATTGATATGTTCACTTTCTCTTCTGCTCTCCGTGAGAAACCACTAGCTATAACTGTCACAAAGCTTGAACAGCATTTAAAATTATAAATTGAAATAAACACCGTTGAAATGTAACTAATCACGCGCTATATTCATATAATTTTTCAGAGATTAGAATTTTAATGATCTTAGTAAAGCAAGCAATCACAAAACAGAAATGATGAAGAATGAACAACTAGCACAAAATATCAGCAAAATGTTTGCTCGAACACCTAGGACATCCCAACTAAACATTGAACCGTTCAGACCATATTATAGTACCATGTTACAATACCATATTACAGTACCAGAGATATAATTTGATATTTTGTACTATCAGTGTTTGAGGAATCGTTTCTTTATGTTTGCGCTTAGGGCAGACAGAATGGGACTCTTCAGCTTTGTAGGACTTTCACTTTCGGCAGATGCGCTCTCCACTGTAAGTGCCCATCTGCTGTCTGATTCTCTCCGCGACACTTCTATTTTGGCCAGCTGTTTCCTTTTCTGAAAAAAAAAGTTAGGAAAGGTGAAATGAAAATGACTTTGCAACAAAAGTAACATAGAAAAAGGAGGGGAAGGAGTGAGAAAACGCGATACACAGAATGGTTCAAATTATTGTCATTTTTTCGTCCTTACGTACTTATCACAGTACTTTGAGAAAGGGTTGAATATTTACAGATTCAATTTTCCCAAAGATAAATTTGTCAA